ATAAATAAACCTAATTAGGAACGCTGTTGGCTTCAGCACGGACACTGGAAATCTTCCTCCACAGCCCTATTAACATATCAATGGATACTTTGCCCCCTTTTTCAGACCCCTGTATTTTACCACTGTTGCCATGACAATCGCAGGTCACTGTATGACATGGCCGTACCGGAAATCAGATCAGTGCTGTGTGGTTGAGTCAGACTCAGTCTGAACAGAGAGCAGTTTATTAACATAAACTTATGTGACCTGATGATGAGACGCTTCACTCCTTTGAGGGACATTAAAGAAGAACCATTTGTGAATATGAGTCAGAGCATTTGAAATAATCCAGGACAATATATACAGCAGTTGTAGTACTGCAGTACTGACAACAATACGTGTTTACTCACTGGTTTATGAGGGTTGGCACATTTGTCACTCCTGAGGTGAGAGTTAAATCTTAATCGTTTTAAATATATTCTTTTTATGTATTTTCTTTTTGTAATTTTTATGAAAAAATACTAAGATGTATTAGCATGTGGTGCTAAAGATTAAAAGCATTGACCATAGTTAATAATAATAATAAAAAACAGTGTCCTAATGTTTTTACCTCATAAAGGTTCTGTTGACTAATTTCAGTACATGAAATAACACTCATTGAAATGAACTTTAACTGAGACGTTGGGAAACACCACACGGGTAATGTAGTTGTGGTGGACGCACCACAAACTCTGGTTTGGTTTCACCACAAACCACAAATGACTCAATGGGAGGAACTGACAATCACAGGGATTCATGGTAATAGTTTTAGGTTTGACTTTTCTTAATATAATAAAAAAAGGAGTAAAGGGACTTCACTGGGGAATAAGGTTACTGTTAAATATACTTTATATTTATTGGAGATACATTTTGTCAATTTTCCCGGGTCAAAGTTTGACTTTTAATATTAAACATCCGTATGGTTTTACTACAGCAGCTGGTGGGCAGTGTTTCCAGATGATGGCGCTGCAGATACCGTCATAATCCTGTTAGTTGGTCGACCAGCTGGACCGTCTGACCTGTGATGTCATCTCTGTGTCTCTGTGTGCAGGTTGCGTGTAAAGCAGTGATGGTTTTCTTCCACTACTGCGTCATGTCCAACTACTTCTGGCTGTTTATTGAAGGACTGTATCTGTTTACTCTGCTGGTGGAGACGTTCTTTCCCGAGAGGCTGTACTTCTACTGGTACACCATTGTAGGATGGGGTGAGTGAGTGGCTGCCTACGGCAAATAGCAGTGTTAAAAACAATTTAAAAAAATTATTTTTATGAGAGGCTGTAGAGGACTGGATAAGTGCTTTAGGAAAATCAAGATTTTTGTGAAATAATTTGTTTATTACTACCTAAAAAGTGATGTTTTACCACAAATGCATTCAAAACCGTGTTTTTAACATCAAGAGATTCTATTTAGGGTTAAAATATTTTGAGTTGCGTAACAAAA